TGGAACGTGCCCAAACCTGCTCTTCACCTGGCCAGCCTGATCACTTTGAAGATCAGGCCCCGGGGATTCGCTCACCTCCTTCTCACCGGTAATGAGGTCGATCACTGAGTAATCAGGTGTTGTGAGCTGGGGGGTCTCAGTCTATGACACCAGGGACCTCCCTGCCGATTGCACTACTGCAGCCCCAGTGCCTCGGGAAACGGATCCTCTGACACGGTATGAGGGCTCCCCATCCCCGCGAGGAAGGCATGGACAAGCTCCAGCACAGGGGCCACAGCGAGGTTTTCTTCCAGCAACTTCTTTGGACCCTTGCTCTTTGTCGGGCTCGAGCTGGTTTTTCTTGGTGAGGGTGAACGTGCCTCCAAGGGGAGACGGACCAGCTCACGGTGCCGGGGCAAAATGATGCTTTCCGCTCCATTCCCATTACTCTAATGGGTACCCATTTTGCCTGCCACACACTGGGCCGTCTCCAGATGACAAGTTGACAGTGACTCCCATTGGGTCATTGCTGAGAGGGGGAGTCCATTATGCAACTGGCTGCGGGTTCCGGCACAGCTTGTACCAGAAAGCAGGTGCCTGTCATCTCAGATCTGCTGTCCCTGTTGTCTGAGCAGCTCCTGCTGAAGCCTGTCCTTCCCACCTGCACTTCCGGTCAGGGGCACCTGCCCCGTTCTAGGAGCTGTCCAGCGCTCTCCTGGCTCAGGCTAGGGGAGAAGCAGCGACTGTGGGTGTCCTCCAGGGCACTGTCCCAAAAGGGTGTCCCAAAAACACGATGGCTTTTCAGACCTGGTGAATCCAGAGGGAGCAGGCATATTTGTCTTGAGTCTTCCTTAAATGAGTTCATAATACACGTGAAGATGTGCTTATATTTGCTTACGCTTTTTCCAAGGGGTACTGTTTTTCATTTGTTTTTTTAATTTTCTTGTTCCCCTATCAGCTATGGGGCCAATGCCTCTTCCGGTGGGTGCCCAGCCCCCCTCCCCATCTACCCAGGCTTCGCTTCCCAGGAGGGCTTGGGGGCCATTATTATGACAAATGGGAGTCCCTGGGTGACACGAACAGTTAACGCACTCAGCCACTAACTGAAAGGTTGGCTGTTCGAGTCCACCCAGAGGTGCCTTGGAAGAAAGGCCTGGCAATCTACTTCTGAAAAATCAGCCACTGAAAACCCTATAGAGCACAGTTCTACTCTGACACACATGGGGTTGCCATGAGTTGGAGTCAACTCTATGGTGATACAATTTGATGCCCCGCCTAAGTCCATCCTGGCAGGGTGAGAATGCTTCCAGTTGGTCGGCAGGGCCACCTCCTCCCCACTTTGAGACCCAGGTGGCTTATTGGCCAGGACATCATGAACCCCGGCAGCCCATGGGCACATCTCCTGTAAGGTCTTTGTGGACACGTCAGACAGCCACAGACGTGGAGAGGCATCGCCAGGTCCCCCACACCTGTTGGCTAAAACGTTTGCAAGAATGAGGATGACTTCAAGGCAAAATGTCTTTTCAGTAGTCTCTTACCGGATAAATTATCTTGCAGAAAGAGTGCTTGATCCAAATGAAAGCAGCTGATCACGTAGCCAAGAACACCTCGTTTCTCAGCCCGTGACTGAGATGGGTTTTGAGTCTATTTTTGAATTTGTCTCAAGGACTTAGGTTTTGAATTTCTCCTCCTTCAAACAAATGAAGAGCCCCCCCTGACAAAGTAAATTGAGAAAATAAGTGTACTCAAGCTCCCGGAAGGTTGGCAAGTGGGACCCAGTGCAGAAGAGGAGAAGGCTGAAATCGGCCAAGATGCTCGGGATCCAGCACAAGGAGGGACTTGTCTCAGAAGGTGGAGCGTTCAGAGTGATGGCAGGTTCTGGCGTTAAAATAACAGTTGTCAAAGGTGTTGGCGTTTCTTGGGTCACCTGGGGACCCCATGGCCTGGGTCCTGCCCACTCCCTGATGCCAACCCCCCATACAAGGAATGAGAGGGCATCAATGTCACTTCCATCCTCTCTTCCTCCCCTCTCGGCCATCCCTCTGCCCCCCGCTGGCCAGGGCTGCCTGGCGGTTGCCCCTCACCCCCTCTTCCCTCCTGGGAAGGAATGAACTTTGGGGTTCACAAATCAGTCTGAGTCCCATCAGGGCCCCCTGTCCCTGCTCCCCTCCCACCCCGGGCTGCCGGAAAGTCAGAAATAGAAGTGACTGGAAGCAGCTTGATAACTGTGCCCTTGATTACACTGCCACCTGTCCCCCCATTGGGGTCAGGAGTCTGTCCTGAGACCCCCTCACCAAGCCAGGCCTCCTACCAGCACGACTCCTATCCCCTCTTAAACCCGAGAGGGTGCTCAGCACCCCTGGCTAGAACCCCTGGCCCTCCTTCCCAGCCAAACGGCCTGAGGAGAGTCCTCCCACGTCCAGGCGTCTTCCTCCTCTTTGTGAGGGCAGACGGCTTCTCTCCTGGGGAGGCCCAAGCTGCCCCTGTTGTTGTTGTTAGGTGCTGTTGAGTCAGTTCCGACTCATAGCGACCCTGTGCACAACAGAAAAATACACCGCCCAGTCCTGCACCGTCCTCACAATCGTTGTGATGCTTGAGCCCATTGCTGCAGCCTCATTGAGGGTCTTCCTCTTTTTTGCTGACCCTCTGCTTTACCAAGCGTGATGTCCTTCTCCAGGGACTGGTCCCTCCTGATAACATGTCCAAAGTATGTGAGACATAGTCTTGCCATCCTTGCTTCTAAGGGGCATTCTGGCCGTACTTCTTCCGAGACAGATAGGTGGCTTTAGAGGACACATGTAGTGTGGTAGGGTCATCATTATCCTTTGTCCTGCATCCTGTTCTATCAAGGCTCCCAGATCTATTAGTTATCCAATCTAGGACTCAGCTGGGGGTGGCGGTGGACAGGGCTGCAGCCTCCTGGTAATTCTGGGCCCCAGGCTGGGAGGGGCTGCCTCTGTCTGCCACTGTTGAGGGGGTCCAATGGCCAGGGACATCCAGCCCCATAAGGGGAGGGGGTCAGGTCAAATTTATTATTATATATTTTTTATTGTGGTGAAAATAATACACACCAAAACAGTTGTCAATTCACAATTTCTACATATATGATTCAGTGACATTAATGACATTCGTCCACTTGTGCAACATTCTCACTCTCCTCATCCAGATCAGTCCACCACCGCTAACACGAGCTCCAGGCCCCCTCAGCAACCCCTCCCCGGCCCCCTGCCTCTGCTAACCACTAAGAACCTTTGGTTTCTGCGTATTTGCTTATTTCATGGAAATGGGGTCATACAGGGATCAGGCAAATTTAACCTGGTGGCCGCCTCCCCCTTGCAAAGCCCGGAGGTGGCAAGCCTGTGGCCCCCTGGGCCTGGGTCCCTCACTCTGGTGCCCTTGGACCTGGCACAGGCAGCAGCTCAGGAGACAGTCCTGGAGTGGACCCGAGCGAGGTGTGTTCCTCTGTGATGTTTTTACCACCTGGCACAGGACAGCCTGTGGCCTTCTGAGAGCCTGTCCTGTGGGGTCCCACAGACCCACAACGGGTCAACCAGTGCCTGAGCCTGCTCAAAACATGCTTTGTATACAGGACCCCCAGCGAGCCTGGAGGGTCGCGTGGACAGGAACCTGGCGAGCTGGTGTCTGAGGGCCCTGCAGAAGGGCTGGCAGCTCCCACGTGCCTGAGATGGTGGGCCCCCTCTCGGGCCTGACACCCAGCTCCGTCAGCTAACTTGCCCCCCTTTACAACAGAGGACACAGGGCGCCGGGCACAGGGACTCGGGGCGCAGGGCGGCAGGGTTAGGTCTCTGGCACAGCGGCTCCCGAAGCCTGATCCCGCGCTCTGGCCGGAGGCTCGGCTGGGTTGGGCGGCGGGGAACCGGGGGGGGGGGGAGCGCCGACTGCAGGGCTTCCCCGCCAGCCCCCTCCTGCACCTGCGTCTCGGGGGCCTGCTCAGCCCCTTTCCCGGTGGAGGAAAGGACGGCGAACGGAACCCCATTTGCGGGGTGTTGGGGGGCCCTAACTCCAAGGCTACGACCCTGAGAGGGTAATGGGGGGGGTCTCTGCCGCAGGGCTTGGGGGGCTCTCCGCTGGGGGTTGCTGGGTGGCTCTTCGTCGCCCCCTACCTTCCGGTAACGCAGGACCACGGCGCGGCCCTCGGTCGGGCGCTGGCACCGGCTTGCCGCCACTCCCGCCCCCCTCGGGGCTCGGCGGGGGACGCGGGGGCGGGACTGGGGCT